AGTTTTTTAAAATTACCCTCTCTTCCCCCGATCTTCTATTCTCCTTGTATCCCATCACCCTTTATCCAGTGTAGCTACAAAAGAAAGTGATCTGAAATCTGTGGCCCCTTATAAACATGTACATCCTGAAGTCTACTCAACATCTTTTATCTCCCAATACAAAACCCAAAACAAACACTGCTTTTTCGCCCAACACATATCTTGTATACTTTTTTATCCTTTTTTTTTTTAAAATATTTTTCCCCATAACTAAACCCCCTTTCTATACAAATTCAATCAAAGGGTTTTCCCTTTTCATTTCACCTGGCCCCCAAATTCCCCTCCACACCCTCTCTAAAATTTTTTTCCCTACTTAGATTCGGGCCCCCTACCACAATTACTCTCTCCTTGGTTAAGGCTCCTATACATTTATTTAAACACCCCCCCAAAATCTCTCTCTCTCCTCTACATTCCTCTTTTCTCCATGCAAAACAGCTATTATACCACTTTTTCGCATCCCCAAACCCTTTTCTTTTAAACCCCAAAATTCTTGAATTTACAATTCAAAATTCTCTTTTCCCCCTTCCTAACTGATCATTTTAACATTATGCACCCCTTCCTTTGCTCTAACTCTCTCAGTACTCCAAATTTTTCCCAAATTTTTTCCCCCACTGAAACTCCCCCCACCCCCCTTTACTTTGTTTTGCTTAGGGCCGGACATCCAAATTCTTTTTTATTCATAACATAGCAATCATCTTTTCTTGTCATCCGACACATCCACCACATTTTAAACATCCCATTTTATAAAGTTTTTTTTTCTCTTTTTTTTAAAGTTACGGAGAAGGGGGTTTCTAGCCCCCTTGCTCCCGGATTTTTGTCGCCTCATACGACACGCATGGGTTACGGAAAAGTTTCTTTTCCCCTTCCCCAGGACATAGAAGAAATAAAAAAACAAAAGGGTATTTTGAAAAAAGGGAAAAAAAAAACCCAGATGTATGTATATATAATGCATGTGTGTGTTGTGAAGTGTGACCAAAGTGTAAGTAGGGGTAGCAAAATATCCTGTTATCTAGCATGTTTATGAGACAGAAAAAGAAACCACAGTTACCATCATGCAAAACAGTTACAGGGTTTTTTTTTTTCACAGTCATCTGGAGGAGGATATTTCCCCGGGTGGTTGGTCTACCAACCCACCCTATATTATGTATGAAAAAAACATATTGTAACCTTTTCAAAGAAAAAAATATTTTATTTATTTATTTATTTAACTTTATTCATGAATTTATACAGGGAGTTACTACCCTTTGCTCCCAGCATATAAGTCACCTCTTATGACACGCGCTTATAGAAAAGATTTTCTTTTTCCCTTTCCCCATGGAGAATTCTAGAACTATCTTAGCTTTATTAAAATAGGCGAAAGCGCAACCACTCTGGCTGTCCCCTTTCCCCCAGAACTTCACTCCATCTGAATCCATATACCCCGGATGACCGAGTAGGAAACATTTGACAGCATAATGAGTCAACGAGATAAAGTCAGTTGCAAAGAAAATGCGGCCCACAGATGGCTCCCAAATTTATCCCGTTCCCTACTTGTATGTTCATAACAATAAAAAATGCTTTCAAATGAGCTGATGTAGGTAACAGCTCTTTTGCTTGCCAAAAAAGTTAGGAATCCTTAACCCCGTAAATGCGTGTCAAAAAAGCTATGGATCCTTAACCTTGTCAAACCCTTGTAAAAAAAAAAAAAAAAAAATAGTCAAGGTAAGATTAGATGTCACGTACAATTGCATTTTTAATTTTATACCAGAGTTTTTTTGTCATTTTTATTACAAATACTGTACGCTGACTTCATAATGTTTTACAGCATTTTAAATGAAAAAAAAAAGTATAAGCACAAAAACGGGAAAAGAGAGGCTGCATCAGTTAACCAAAGGGGATTTTCAAAGTGCTTAACACCTTATTTCTCTATAATTGCCATTGCCCTTTTAAATTTTTGGTCTTTATTAGGACATTAATATTCATATTTATTAGTTCATTTGCCCCTTTTTTTCTTTGCCGTTTTTTTGACCTTTATTTCACCCCTTAAAATATTTCCCGATGGTGAAGATTTACTTTGGGTGTAAGAAAATTTGCTTTTTCATGTACATGAGATAAAATGGTAATTTGTGCCCACTGGTACTTCTATTCAACCACGGGTTAAACCTATGCTGGTGCAGGTTTAGCACTGGCCTCAAGAGAAGCAACTCACTACAGAGGTGGAACACAAACGAAGGAGTTGGTTTAGTTCTTTCCCCCGCAAATCTCCCGCCGTGTGTTTTTAAAACATGGTAAATTTTACAGTAGAAATAAATAGCAGACATTAGTTTATAGAAGCATCAAGTAACTCAGTTTTGTTTCTCACAGCATTTGGGTTATGCAAATATTGACATGAACTTTCAAAAAACTAGAATACATCATTAGCCATTCTCATTTATTTCTCATGTACTATATCCTAGTTAGTTACAATACTTGGGAGCATTAACCATTAGTGCCATGTTAGTAGTATATAAATCTTTTCTCACTATTAAACTAAAAGTAATATCATATATAGTATTTGTATTCTGAACATAAAAAGTAGCTTAATAGTAAATTAAGAAAATTGATACATAAAATAAATATTGCAGTGTGAGACATAACTAATAGTATTCTTATGTGTCATGGTGTTTTGAAGAAATTTATTGTGTCATGGTTTTTTGAAGGAATTCGTACTGATGATACATAGTGAACTGCATTGGCCAGGGAGGTATACCATCTTTTAGGAGTGAAGAAGAGAAGGATGCGAGTGTGGGGGAGGTACGTGAGGCATTACGTAGAATGAAAGGGGGTAAAGCAGCTGGAACTGATGGGATCATGACAGAAATGTTAAAAGTAGAGGGGATATAGTGTTAAAGTGGTTGGTATTTTTGTTTAATAAATGTATGAAAGAGGGGAAGGTACCTAGGGATTGGCAGAGAGCATATATAGTTCCTTTATATAAAGGGAAGGGGGACAAAAGAGATTGTAAAAATTATAGAGGAATTAGTGTACTGAGTATACCAGGAAAAGTATATGGTAGGGTTATTATTGAAAGAATTAGAGGCAAGGCAGAATGTAGGATTGCAGATGAGCAAGGAGGTTTTAGAGTGGGTAGGGGATGTGTAGATCAAGTGTTTACATTGAAGCATATATGTGAACAGTATTTAGATAAAGGTAGAGAAGTTTTCATCGCATTTATGGATTTAGAAAAGGCATATGATAGAGTGGATAGGGGAGCAATGTGGCAGATGTTGCAAGTATATGGAATAGGTAGTAAGTTAATAAATGCTGTAAAGAGTTAGGGTGTGTAGAAGAGAGGGAGACTACTTCCTGGTAAAAGTAGGTCTTAGACAGGGATGTGTAATGTCACCATGGTTGTTTAATATATTTATAGATGGGGTTGTAAAAGAAGTAAATGCTAGGGTGTTCAGAAGAGGGGTAGGATTAAATTATGGATTAAATTATGGGGAATCAAATACAAAATGGGAAGTGACACAGTTACATTTTGCTGATGATGCTGTGCTTATGGGAGATTCTAAAGAAAAATTGCAAAGGTTAGTGGACGAGTTTGGGAGTGTGTGTAAAGATAGAAAGTTGAAAGTGAACATAGAAAAGAGTAAGGTGATGAGGGTATCAAATGATTTAGATAAAGAAAAATTGGATATCAAATTGGAGAGAAGGAGTATGGAAGTGAATGCTTTCAGATATTTGGGAATTGACGTGTCAGTGGATGGATTTATGAAGGATGAAGTTAACCAAAGAATTGATGAAGGAAAAAAGGTGAATGGTGCGTTGAAGTATATATGGAGACAAAAAATATTATCTATGGAGGCAAAGGGAATGTATGAAAGTATAGTGGTACCAACACTCTTACATGGGTGTGAAGCTTGGGTTGTAAATGCTGCAGTGAGGAGGCGGTGGAGATGTCCTGTCTAAGGGCAATGTGTGGTGTAAATAATATGCAGAAAATTTGGAGTGTGGAAATTAGAAGGTGTGGAGTTAATAAAAGTATTAGTCAGAGGGCTGAAGAGGGGTTGTTGAGGTGGTTTGGTCGTTTAGAAGAATGGATCAAGGTAGAATGACATGGAGAGTGTATAAATCTGTAGGTGGAGGAATGCAGGGTAGTGGTCATCCTCGAAAAGATTGGAGGGAGGGGGTAAAGGAGGTTTTGTGGATAAGGGGTTTGGACTTCCAGCAAGCGTGTTAGATAGCAGTGAACGGAGACGAATGATATTTGGGCCCTGACGAGCTGTTGGAGTGTGAACAGAGTAATATTTAGTGAAGGGATTCAGGGAAACCGGTTATTTTTATATAGCCGGACTCAATTCCTGGAAATGGGACGCACAATGCCTGCACTTTAAAGGAGGGGTTTGGGATATTGGCAGTTTGGAGGGATATGTTGTGTATCATTGTACTAATATACGTACTTCTAAACTGTTGTATTCTGAGCACCTCTGCAAAAACAGTGATTATGTATGAGTGAGGTGAAAGTGTTGAATGATGAAAGTATTTTCTTTTTTGGGGATTTTTTCTTTCTTTTTGGGTCACACTGCCTAGGTGGGAGATGGCCGATTTGTTAAAAAAAAAAAAGATGAATGACTGAGCCCAACTGACATACTTAGCGGATAACTAAGACCAGCTGACATACATAGCAAATACAAGTAGCTCAGATGTGTTTTTAGTAAGTATTATGTTTAGTTTCAAGGTTTTTATTGTATAGATCTCTAAATAACCTTTGAATTTCAGTGTTTTGCAAATCCCACAGTTGCCTCCTCCCCTCATCTCTCTATTATAAAGTGACATTTTCTTTTAGAGGTAACTAAAACCAGCTGACATACGTAACATGTGACTAAATAAATATGACGTACATAGAAAGATAAAAATCCTTTACTATAAGGATTCTTTTTTTTCCCTGAGGTATCTTGCATAAGAGCATTCTTGTGTATGTCATGTATTTTTTCAGAAAGCTCCAAAACCACCAAGAATAAAGACAACCTAATCGAGTCTTCAGCTGAGGTAGTGTTAGTTAATGGAGCCTGGGCAGTGCTACAGGATCATCTTACTCATTATCCACAAATTATGAGTCATCTTACTAAAATGAGGTAGGTCTTAGGTATCATCTTGTGCTGTCATAAGGTTGTGAAATAATGCTAAATAAATGTTAAATAATTCTGTACATACAAACTAATGAAATACAGTTTGTATTTAATTAGAGAAATCATAAGTTTGTATAACTATCATTTTTTCAATAAGCATAGATCATCATGTCTCTTGCAAGTGCTGACTCACTTAAGTTGTTACAGGCGGGCCCCACTTATACAACAGGTTAGGTTCCAGGCTACTGCTGTAAACTTGGTAACCTGTATACACAATCATACGGCTGGTTTCTTGAAAGAAGAAGAATATTAAGTGAGCATTAGAGCCATGCCTAAAAAATGCATATACAGTACACACATTACTTACCTTAAAATATTTTCATCCTTAGCTTATAGTGAGTGAATATATTTATTGTAGGAAGTCTGAATAAATGAAGAATGCATATAATTGAAAACTACTGCTTTAGCGAAATGTCATGAAGCAAAGTGCTGTAAAGCGGGGCCTGCCTGTACATGCATTATTGATAAGATTTTTTTTTCACTGGCTGTACAAGTGGACAAATCTTACTTAATCTAACTTAGTAATATCATTTCTTAGAACGCAAGCATCCGAGAAAGTTACGAATGTATCGGCACTAAGTAGTGAGAAGAATTTACTTGTTGCATCCAACAAGAGAAATCAAAATAGCAGCAGGACACTGGAGGTAAATTATATGACATGCAGTACTGTACTATACAGATTTTATTTTTAACTGGCAACCCTACTTTTTTATTTTTATTTTTTTTTTTTGTCTCGTTGGCCATGTTCCATCAAGGTTCAGTGTCCCTTCCCAAAAAAAAAAAAAAACAAAAAAAAAAACACATTCACCATTATTATTCAATCTTTTGTCTCGCCAAAAGTGTTCTGACATCATAATTCGGGTGACTTTTCAACTTCAGCATCCCCACCCCCCTTTCAGAGTACAAGTATTGCTGTTCCCACTTCCAGGATGCAAGTTTGGCTACCCAGTTTGTCTGAATTTCTTCATAACTCTTACCTTGTTCATACTCCAACAGCTCATCAAGAATTGACAACCACTTGTTTCCATCACTAGTCTAAAATGCACACACAAGTCTGCCAGGTGTTCAAGCCTATAAAATTTTCCTCTACCTCTTCCAACCATTCCTGGGACAATATCTACCGCCTTCCTTCCACTCAAGATTTAAACACCCTCTAATGCCATTCTCCTTGTACTCCACCTACCTGTTACTATAGCTACTAATATGTATAATGATCTGATACATCGTTCCTTTCTCCAAAAACAGGCATATCCATTAATTTACCCTTTAACTTTTTTTATGTTAATACAAAGTTGAACATACTGCTCTCATTGCACCCTGTATTGTATCTTGTATATGTTTTTATCCTTTTTTGTTTTTCTCAAAATAATGCTGTACTTATGTATCACCAAACCCCTTTTTATATGTAATTAAATTAGGGACCCTCCAAATGTACCTACTGGACTACACTTTTTATAACAATCTTTTTCATTTTATCACTCAGGTCACCTTCAGCAATTATTCTCACTTGGTTCACAACTCCTTAAGCATTCACTTAATACCGCCCAAAAGTTCTCTCTCCTCTACACACCTCCAGCTGTATAATCCTACGGGTTTAGTGCTTCCCCTTGATTATAATAATAATAATAATACACACCTCCAGTTCATTATTATTATTATAATCAGAAAGAACCTCCAGTTCATGTTAATACACCCTTAGCCCACTTCAACATTCCTTTTATTCTAATCCATATAATTCTTGAATCTGTAATTGTGTCCTCTATTAATATTTCTAGTATACAATAAAATCTGATGTCTCGTAATAGTTTCAGTATTAATAAGTTATGCCAGCTGCAGAATATTTTGAGTTAGTCTTATTTTCCTAATGAAATTTTTTTTAATACACCACAGTCTCCCACCTAGGTAGGGTTATGGGCGGTACATTGAAAAAAAAATTGAGTGGAAAAAAGGGTAAGCTCATATACACACTCCAAGAGTGATTCAGCAACATCACACCAGTGTTTGTTTCATAGGAGAATATTCTAAGTCACTACCACTTGAATCAACACTCTCCTCCATATACTGTACATACATATATTCCTCTCCACTGTCATTGCCCAAATCACTTGAATCACTATCTAAATCAGGGGCAAAATGCTATTGGCATTTGCTTTGTGTGACAAGACCAGAGGTGGAAGGCATGCCATATCTTGGGTTGAACTATCACTTCCTTCATTCCTGGTCATACCGTCATTACTGTCCCCATGACAACCAGAAAATGATGCTCCATTATCATCATCCTCATTGTCACTGGTGTCAGGATTGAACAGAATTTCCTGGATTTCATTGTGAGAAATGTTGGAGTGCCACCCAGCCATTGTTAGCCTATCTTTCCTGGATGATATTAGCCACAGTGCCAACACATACCTATGCAGCCTGAATTTTTTTTCTGAGGAGGCAGGCATGAGGTAGCTAGTGGCCCAAAGAACACAGCTGAGACCCAAAATGGTGGTGCTTGGCAAATCTGAGGTCTAGAAAAATTGTACTTTCTAGTATGTCACATAGTACTTACATACTAGTATATTGGACACAATTTAAAAGTTAATCTGGAGCACCTGCATAAAGTGGGGGGAAAACTGTACATTACTAATGTTGGTTTTGTTATCATGTATTTTTATGTTTTTGTGATATTATTATACAGCATATATAAATGATGTAATGTTTAATTCTTTATGTAGTAATACATTTACTTTTCATATTCCAGTCAGAAACACAGGCAAGAAAAGGAAGTAAAAGGGGAAGCTTAAAGAACAGAGTGAGAACGTAAAAGCAAAATTAACATGTTTAATCCCACAAGGAAGTAGATATCCAGAACAAAAAAACAAAAAGAAGGAGAAAAAATTAAGATACACTTTGTATGTTGGGTGGTTTGCTTTAGTCCATAAAATATTTGGAAGTAGAGTCATTAACAAATATACAAAGACTACAAAAATTTTGTGCAGGGTATGTTAAGTATATGTAAATAAGGCAAAAAATACATTATCTAAGATTGCAATTTAGAAATGGATGACTAAAGATATGATTTGTAATAAGAGAGGAAATAGTTTCCTGTCTAGTCATGGACAGATTGGGTGAATAATTTGTAGGACAACCTCAGAACTGCATTCTCCTATTAACGAGTACAATACTCAATAAGCCAGTTATTTCTCACTAAAGCAGTGCCAATTCTTTTTAGGATAATAGTCGTCTGGTTTCCTGCTGTCATTTGATTGGAAAAGCTTAAAGTTGACAGAAATTCAGTGCCTGTATCTGAAAAGTGTGTTAAGTATATTGAAAACAACACTTGACAGTACTTTTCATATTCCAGCATCATAGAAAACAAATATCATTATACTCCAGCTTATCATCCACAGAAATATCACTATTGTCATAGACCAAAATATCATTGGTTATCTCCAAACAAACCATGTCTGTCCCCTTCTCCATAGACTTGCTTTTCTTTTTCATACCCTTAAATTAACTTTAACACTTTCTTCACCACTTTAATGCACTTCAGACATTTAACTTGCCTATACCATCTTAGCACACACTCCTTAATCAGAGAAGTTACAGATTTGTGCACTCTACATCTTTTTGTGAAACTTTTATTCATTAATCTTACAAATACATTACTAACTCCTCATAGTTTGATGCAACAAAAGGGTAATACTGCATTATGATGAAATAATCTTGGATAATTTTGAAATGACAAATTATAGGTGAGAGTCACTGTCTTTAAGGCTATAATCATACCATTAAAAAAAATTGATAGTTTAAGTTAAAAAGGACAGTAATAGTAATAGTAGAGTTTCATGGTTTATTGACAATTGTATACATATCACCTTGTGAGCTAATTACACTTCTGGTGGGTAGAATGGTGGGTTACATTGATTTTACAAAGCCATCTGTGATGTTTATACCTGTTTTTAGGGGGGAGGGAATAGCTCAAGTTTGGTAAATGTTTTATTTATAAGGATTAATTTTAGACCAGTCCAGGTACATGTACATTATTATATGAAATATTTGTCCATTAACCTCTAATTTAATAACATTTTATAATGCTTTTCTTGGTTCATAGGGAAATGTTTTTAAGGGTGTTACTATTTTATCTCCATTATCAAAGACACGGGAAATGTCAGAGCTTTTTGCTTGATTTTTAATGTTTCTCGCTCATAAACCCAAATAAAAACTTATCAGTACCCTTGTAATCATTTATGTCCATGTTCTGCAAGGCTAGATAAAATTGAGTTGCATGTCCCTGTTCATTTTTATACACAAAACACTAAGTTTTTTTTAAACAATTCCCAGCACAACGAGCTTGACTTGCAACAAAGAATACATTAGGGAACATATAAGGCTAATGACAACTTGTCATCAGCTTAACAGCATGTTATACTAGCTCCTCATTACCAGTTAAAATAAAAACTCCCATTACTCATGTCCAAACCTTAAACACTTAGGTCTTGTCCCCAATTCACAAAACCACTTGACTGGTAAATAAAGATTATTATTATAATAAAAAAGAAGCACTAAACCACAAGGGCTATACAGCTGGTAAATGAAGAGATGGTCGAGTTTCAAGGAATATAATTTATAGCTGGTGAGAAAGATTTATAGTCTTTGCCACCTGCTGTGAATATGACTGATTTATCACCGGTCAAGTACATGAACATTAATGCTCCAATTAACCTGTGGGTGTGGCCAGTGAAGCACTCTCGATTCAAAGAGGTGGAGCTATCCCTACCCTTATTCGGATCAAACCTAATTACCTCCCATTCAGTAGGCACTATGACCCCGATAGGTTTAGTATTTTACCATGAATATATGTAATAGTTATAGATCTGATATTACCACTTGGGGGTATTTGTATCCCTAAAATGCAGTGCTGTATGACCCTGTGGGTTTAGCAATTAGTTTTTATTATAAGGCCCCCCTCAAGGGATGTTCCTTGACGCTGGTGAGGGGCTCTTGATTTAGGGAATTGGATTTGTGCTCCAGTTCCCTGAACTGAGCCTGAATACCTTCCATTCCCCCCCTCCCCAACATACGCTGTATAATCCTATGGGTTCAGCACTCCCCTGTTATTATAAGAATATGTATCCCTAAAAAAAAAAAAAAAAAAAAAAGTAAATTCTCAGCATATAGTATTGAACATATAATCTTCCTAAAACTAGTTCTGCCTTGGAACCTCTTACAATAGTTGTTCTATTCAAGGCAAATACTTTGATACTTGTGGGCTTAGCGCTTCTTTTTGATTATAATAATAATAATAATTTGATACTTGTGAAGGGCTCTTGATCCAAGGAATTGGAGCTATCTTTCCCTTACACAGATCAAGCCAAATTACCTCTCGAAAACCAGGCTCTATAGTAAGCTTATGGCTCCATTGTACACTTACCCTTCAAGGGGAAATGCCATATCAGTGAAGTGTTCTTGATCCAAGATATTTGAATCACTCTCCCATTGTATCAAACCTGATTATTTTCTATTCTTCAATCCATTCTTACAGGTTGAGCACTTGTCCATGAATATATAGATATTATTATGATAAGTATGGGTATGTGTGGAAGTTTGAGTGTCCGGTACATTACGGTATTATAAAAGTACGTACGTACTGGGAATAAAAAAACAATTATCCCGTAGGCTATACTTGATAAATATAGACAAAAAAAATTCTAATTTTTTTTAGCTAGTTTTCCCATTGGTGACAGGTGCAGGTACTTGTGGTGGCAGGTGCTGTGCTAGTGGTGGCATTGTAGCGTGGGGGTTCTAGCAAATAAAGGTGGTGTAGAAATGCACACAGGTATGGATGTTACACTTGTATTGGCTAGCCACTTAGCCTAGCAAGGGATTGTATGTATAATACACATGGATAGTACAATATACAATACAATACAATACTTTATTTGGACATGATACATAGTTGTACAAACATATACATAGCTATTCAGTAGCAATATTAACGGCTTGGTCGTGTTATATATGGTGTCTCGACATACAATACTACTATATAGGCTGAACAGGCAGGTGGCTCTGGGCTGATTCTATACAATAGCAAACACATACACAACTTAGAACTAATCAAAGAATTGATAATGGGATATACTAGATGGAATGGACAACATAGGAGTGGATATTACTGTAATGGATGGTTGCATAATGGATTATGAATTATAGTAACAAATCACAGTACAATACAAGAAAGAAATGATCGATTGACCTGTCTTTATGTACTCTATGGATTCTGAGGAAGAATATATATTTACAAAGGAGAAAGTATTTAACAGAAAAGGCAGACCTGGCACGGACAAGTCACTACTGCTAAATCTCAGAATTCGGAGGGAATGTAAACACAAAAAAAAATTTTGGACACTGATCAGCTAATAACAAAGCACACAGTTGACAACTTCATTCAACTTAATCATCCAATTATACAGGCTGTGTACATTTAAACCCAACTCTGCTAGGGTAAGATTTACATATGCAGAATGGTTATCATCTCTGGGAGGATCAAACTCTGTAGCAATGATGAACGCATGCACGAACAAGGGAGAACGGATCTACTATCTCTTACTGGAAGCATAGGGGAAAAGTAATGAACAGGGTCTACAATACTGGTATTCGCTGAGATGAACACTGACCAGAAGTGTTAGCCAGGAAGAAGTGGATCTTACTCTCTTACAACATGTAAGGATGGCTCAACAAATAAACTCTTTACTTTGCAGGAATCACTGTCAATTAGGACGTTATCACCATCTGGAACACAAGGGACAACACCAAACACTCGAGTGAGGGCACTAGCCGCGACAGAATTGTCTTTCTGTAGACAGCATGTGACATCAACAAGAGATGGCATTACTAGTTGCAAGTAGTCGTTTTTCGACAAGGTGTTCCCTGTGGAGGAACTACTATTCGAATTAGCAGACATTACAGGGATAGGCTCAGCACTCAAGGGAATCTGAGGGCCCTCAGACACCTGAGGCAACTGGACACTATCTTGCATGCCTGAAGCTGTAGGTACACAGGAGTGACAGAATTAACAGTGCCTGATTGCTTGGATACGCTACTGGAAAATGCACTGGCCTGTAAGGACTAACCCGAACTTCGTACTCCGTGGCAGTATGGCAGATCTTGGATCCAAGTTGGTAACCCCAAAACGGTACGAGCAAGTCATCGATTTGGGCATGCCATTGGTAATGGCCGAGCACAATGCATAAGTCTTATGGAAGCAAAGCCCAGTAGAAGATCAGGGAAACTAATCTGGTCGACAACGAGGAAGGAAGCAGTAAGTAGTCTCGACCTTGGATAGAAAAGGTGAGGGAAGTCTGAACTCGGACATGCAGGTGGGAACCAGCTACTCCACTAAGGGAAGTTACAGTAGTTGGTTCTATGAGGAGGGCATGTCGTAACGGCTTATCCTTAAACTAGACCTGATAATATTGACTTGTGCACCAGAGTCCATGAACGGGCTCCTGATGAACAGAGGCTTGTACTAAGGGACCTACTGTTGCATTGGAAGTAATATGCAAACAAAAGGGAGAGTTGTCGTCAGAGGTGGTTTGTTCCACGTCATCCCTAAAACTATCGTCAGAGACGTGTGAAGCAACATCAGCAAGATTATATTTCTCGAGAGTGCTTAAGGCATCGAAAGAATTACTAACAGGAATGGTGTACTCATTATCACCTACCGTCACCATGGACGGGTTGACTGGGGCACTCGAATTCCCCCGAAGTGAAAGAATAAGCCTAGTTCTGGGTAGTCTGAGAACCACGACCTCTGTTTCCTCT